CTCCACTATTTTGAAGGCAGAAAGTGCTTTCAAAAACAATTTGAAGAATCTTCCTCAGATTTTACTAGTGGTGGCAGAGGACCAGCTGGACTATTCCATGAAATGGGCCCTGGCCCTGGCAAGAGAACCAACCTCAGATGCAGCTCCCCCTTCCTTCTCTCTCCAAATTTCTCCATATAGGGTTCGAAAGGCACTGGGTTTCATATCACTGACCTTGGCCAAAAATTCCAGGACTTTTGTTTTGTTGGCTTCAGCATGGGCTCTGGGACCCAAAAGGAATTCACAGCATGGAGGATCACTGTTGGGCACCTGCTGGTACTCCACGTACTTTTCCTGCACCAAATCTTTGGTGACAAGCTTCCTGGGATCCCCAAAGATTACGTTCCTCTCCCCATCATAGACACCCAAAGCATTGAGGAATCCCCAGATCTTCTCCTCAGTGGCCCCCTTGACTTTCATGAACATCAAGCCCAGGAGTGGCAACAAGAGGTCATTCTTGGGATACCCACCACCATCATACAGATTCTCTTCCTTGCTAATTTCCCATTTGCTGGCAATGGCATAGTATTGACCCTTGGAGTCGACTTCCTTTACTTCAAGGCCAGAGACCACCTCAATGTATTCAGAGGCTCTCCTCAGGATCTCAGGGAATTGCTCCTTGAACCTTTTGTTGATGATCTTTATCATTTCTGCCTTGGAAATGGACTCTTCGGTTACATACTTCTCCAGCAGAAAGCCCAACAACATGAACCCACGCCAGCTGAGAGGATCTCTTTGTGATTTCTCAGTGCGGGGTGGGGCCTGAGAGGAACTTGCTCTTCCCTCCTCTTGGCTCTCTGCACCTATGGCGGCTCTTGTGCAGGACACACAGGCAGCATCAGTGGTGGTGGGTGGGACTGTCTCAGGCCCCTGGGGAAAGCCAGCAGCAGGGCAGTTCTGGGGAGAACTCCCAAGAGGAGGAGAGGAGGAGCGGGAAGACCCTTTCTCCTCTCTTGCAGTGGCCTGAGGACTCTCAGGATCGTGGGTGTCACACTGGGCCTTGTGTCGGGCCTCATCTTGGGCCTGGCGACATTTCTCAAGGGCATGGAGCTTTCTCTTCTAATCACGAGGCATGATGACTCTGGTCACGGACAGCAGGCAGGAATGTTGGAGCAGGACAGGTGATGCGAGCCCATTGGAAAAGTAAGGTGTAGAGACTGTGAGCCCCTTCAACAGGGAGATGCCTCTTTGGCTTTAACAATGGCTGCCTACACAGGATTCTTGGAGGGTACTGTTCTAGGAACACAGAAGGCTTCAGATCTGCTCAGCCTGCCCTGAGAACCATGTGGAAGAACTTAAGGTGAGGCTTAGGTTGCAGTTGCCAGCAAGGCCTGGCAGTGGGGACCCTCTCTT